CTCAAATGATCCACCTGCCTTGGCCTCCCAAAGTACTAGGATTACAGGCGTGAGCCACCATGCCTGGCCATCAGTTTCTGACTACACAAAGTCACCTGCAGCGGTGGAGGATGGATTCTGATCTGCCACTAACCACTGATCATTCAGGGCACATCTCTACTGCCTCTAACAGAGTTTCTGTGAGGACTCTGCATTCGTATGTGTAAAGCACATAAACAGGTGTACAGGTGCTTAACACAAGTAAGCACCAAATGCGTATTTATTATACCTCCACGCGGTTACTCTGTTGGACCCGTCTTCCCATGACAGTGGGAGCCCTGGCATAGTGAGGGTTATCATTTGCTTTGCTTGGCACTATTTTTTCAAAGTTTAACATGGTTCTTGGCACACAATTCACAACTAACAACCATGAATAAATAAATGGATAAAAGAGGGTAGGATCACGACAGTATTAGAAAAAGAACATTCTGGCCAGTGCAGTGGCTCACACCTATAATTCCAGCACTCTGGGAGGCCAAGGTAGGTGGATCGCTTGAGCTGGGAGTTTGAGAACAGCCTGGGCAACACAGTGACACCCCATCTCTACCAAAAATACAAAAAAATTAGCCGTGCAGTGGCACGTGCCTGCAGTCCCAGCTACTTGGGAGATGGGAAGATCACTTGAGCCTGGAAGGTCAAGGCTGCAGTGAGCCATGATGGCACTACTGCACTCTACCCTGGGCAACAGGGCAAGACCCTATCTAAAAACAAAAAACAAAAAACAACAAAAAAGAAAAAGAACATCATGGTAGTGTGTGAAAAATGAAAGAAGGAAAAAGATAATACTAGAAACCAGGAAATGAGGACTTAAAGCAGCAGAGGTTTGGAAGAGCAGACACAAGAAAGCAGGAAGGGAGCTGACCAAGCCAGCAAGGAGATTTACCAAGTGAACAGGTGTCCCCATGGACCCTGCTTGATCTGAAAACCTGAATCCACAGGAGCTCTGCCCAGCACAGTTTCCTGTATTTTCTCAGCCAACTATGTATCAGAGCAGAGAAGTTCAGTCATCAGACACACGTGCATTTAACAAACACTTTAACATCCACACCTATGTGCCAGGCACTCTACTAAACAGACAAAAGAGGGCATAAGCATGGTCCCTGCCCTGGCAGAATTCACATTCTAGGGTGGAGACAGGCCACAAACAGGTTGAGTTGAAGAATGGCTTGTGGCCAGGCGCAGTGGCTCACACCTGCAATCCCAGCACTTTGGGAGGCTGAGGTGGGCGGATCACGAGGTCAGGAGTTGGAGGCCAGCCTGGCCAACATGGTGAAACCCCGTCTCTACGAAAAATACAAAAATTAGCCGGGCGTGGTGGCAGGCGCCTGTAATCCCGGCTACTCGAGACTGAGGCAGAAGAATCGCTTGAACCCAGAAGATGGAGGCTGCAGCGAGCCGAGATTGCGCCACTGCACTCCAGCCTGGGTGACAGAGTGACAGTTTGCCTCAAAAAAATAAACATATAAATAAATAAAATTTTTTTTGGCCGGGCGTGGTGACTCACGCCTATAATCCTAGCACGCTAGGAGGCCGACACAGGTGGATCACGAGGTCAGGAGATCAAGACCATCCCGGCTAACACGGTGAAACCCCGTCTCTACTAAAAATACAAAAAATTAGCCGGGTGTGGTGGCAGGTGCCTGCAGTCCCAGCTACTCAGGAGGCTGAGGCAGGAGAATGACGTGAACCCAGGAGGCGGAGTTTGCAGTGAGCCGAGATCACGCTACTGCACTCCAGCCTGGGCAACAGAGCAAGACTCTGTCTCAAAAAAAAAAAAAAAAAAAAAAAAATTTTTTAAATGGCTTATGATAAACATTCTAAAGTACATAAGGTGCTGAGATGGAGAGAACTATTTTAGATAGGGTGGTCAGCTGACATTTACACTAAGATCTAAAGAATGAAAAGGACTCAGTCAGCCAGGTGTGGTGGCTCACGTCTGTAATCCCAGCACTTTGGAAAGAGGCAGAGCTGGGTGGATCACCTGAGGTCAGGAGTACAAGCCCACCTGGCCAATGTGGCGAAACCCGTCTCTATCAAAAATACAAAAATTAGCGGGGCGTGGTGGTGCATGCCTGTAATCCCAGCTACTCGGGAAGCTGAGGCAGAAGAATCACTTGAACCCGGGAGGCGGAGGTTGCAGTGAGCCAAGACTGTGCCACTGTACTCCAGCCTGGGCAATAGAGCAAGACTCCATCTCAAAAAAAAAAAAAGAAAAGAAAAGAAAAGAAAAAAAGAAAAAAGAAAACAGACTCAGTCATTAAAAGAATATTCCCAGTCAGGTGTGGTGGTGCACACCTGTAGTCCCAGCTACCTGAGAAGCTGAGGCAGGAGGACTGCTTGAGCACAGCAGTTTGAGACCAGCCTGGGCAACATAGTAAGATCCTCCTCTCTGATTTTTTTTCTTCTTGTCCTTGCCATATGAAGTCTCTCTTCAGTTAAAAACAAAAAAGAGGCCGGCGCGGTGGCTCACGCCTGTAATCCCAGCACTTTGGATGGCTGAGGCGGGCGGATCACGAGGTCAGGAGATCGAGACCATCCTGGCCAACACGGTGAAACCCCGTCTCTACTAAAAATACAAAAAAATTAGCCGGGCGAGGTGGCGGGCGCCTGTAGTCCCAGCTACTCGGGAGGCTGAGGCAGGAGAATGGCGTGAACCCGGGAGGCGGAGCTTGCAGTGAGCCGAGATCGCACCACTGCACTCCAGCCCGGGCAACAGAGCAAGACTCCGTCTCAAAAAAATAAATAAAAAAAAAAATAAATAAATAAATAAATAAAATAAAATAAAACAAAATAAAAAATAAAAACAAAAAAGAACATTCCCAAGTGGAGCAGAGAGCATGAAGACCTTCCACCAAGAAAAAGCTTGGGGTGCCACAGGTTACCTGGTTCAAAAGAAGATACAAAATAGGCCAAAATGAGGCTAAAACGGGGAGCAGAGCCAGGTTCAGGGGAGGAAATTTGGGTTTTATTCTGAGCATAACGGAAAGCCACTGAGGGGTTTTAGGCAGAAAACAGTGCTGTGGCCGGATTTTAATTTTTAAGGGTCATACTTGCTGCTGGTTGGAGCACGAATCGGAGAGGGGCAAAAATAGGGATAAGGGAACCCAAATAGGAAGGTTTTACACAGATCCAGGCCAGAGACAATGGTGGCCTAGACCAGATAAAGTGGAGAACAGATGAATTCAAGTGATATTCTGGTGGTATAACTGATGGAATTCATGGGTGAACTGGGTGTTAAGCGTGGGGCTTCACTATAGTCACATTCAGCTTTTGCCTTTGAACAGTGGTGCCATTTTCCGAGATGGGAAAGGCTGAGGTTTAAGCAGAAAAATGAAGAGTTCCACTTTAAATATGTTAAATGAGATGTTTATGTAACACCCAGTAGATGTCAAGAGAGCAACTGGATATGTAAAGTAGATCTGGAGGAAAGACCTGGGATAGATGGAGCTGCAGATCTGGTAGTTGTCCTAATACAGGCGATATTTAAAAATCATAGAAATAAATGACACTGTTCAGGGGAAATGCATCAGAAGATCACCCAGGCCCTATCCTGAGGAACTCAACACTTAGAGACTAGATAGAAAAAAAAAGCAGGCAATGAAATAGGGAAACAATCTTACTACTATGTTTCAAAAAGGAAGGAGTAGCCAGTCCAACAAATGCTGATTTGAGTAAGAGGACACTTTCAGTGTTCCATGGATTGGGTAGGATGGAGATCACTGTTGATCAAAACAAGAAACAAAAATTTAAGTGTCGTGGACGCCAGACTGAGCTGGGCTGAGGAGTGAAAATGAAGTGCAGATACGGAGCAGACAGCTTAACAGAGGTCTAGACAGGGCTGTCAAATATGGAAGAAACACTAATCGCTAACAGAATGGAGCACAGCAATAGCCTGAAATTGGTTTGAAAATCCAAGATAAAAAATCCCTCTGACGTCGTGATCCAGACCTCTCAAACACACAAGCATGCTCTTAATAACTGCAACAAAAGCAATAACGCTTTCTAGACTATTCCACTGCGTTGGGGAAACGGCTGGTCACCACCCAATCATTCACACGGTTCGGTGACGGGTAGAGACCTGCAATGACAGCTCCACGCTAATCTAACAAGGGGTGATTTGGGGAGGCAGAGATGGATTTTAAAAAGAAGCAGGGAGCCCGAAGACCAGCGCGGCCAGAGCGCCAGATGGCCATAAGCGTGGAGGCTGCGGGACGCCCACAGCCCCGGGCCCGGAGCCCCCGCCCCGCAGCCCCACCCGCCGGCCCACCCCGCGCCACTCCCCCGCCACCCTCACCTCCTCCAGATACTCGCCCAGCTGGGCCGCCACGTCCACCTCCCAGTTCTTGGTGAGATCGCGGATGGGCTGCAAGAGGTGAGCGAAGCGCGCCTCCACGTCCTCCATGTCCGGGAGGGAACGGGCGGCAAAGGGACCGTAGGGCTGCCTTCCGAGGGGTACGGCGTCCTCAGCCCGCCACTAGTTCTGGCGCCATTTTGCTGTTCCCGCCCAGGAAAATGCGTAGGCGCGGCGTCGCGCGCATGTCTATGACGTAACGCGGGCCAAAGCCCAAGAGGCGATGCCCCGCGCCGCGCGGCCGGAGCGCACCGGAAAAGTCGCGGCGCAGGGTAGGCGCCGGGGCCGAAGGGGGCGGGCGGTGGGCGGGGCTTTGGGCTGCCGCCGGTTTGGACGGGCGGGCTTTTGGGCCCGCCGTGGGTGGGGCGGGACGGGGCGGGGCGGGACCTGGGGCTGCCGCGGGTTGGGCGGGCGGAGCAGTGAGGAGGCGGGGCCTCGGGCTGCCGCCGGCGAGGTAGGGAGGGACCTGGAGCTGCCGCGGGCGGGCGGGCGGGCCGAGGAGGCGGGGCTTGGGGGGCTGACGCGGGCGGGGCGGGGCGTGGAGCTGCCGCGGGCGGGCGCGCCGAGGAGGCGGGGCCTGGGGGGGGCTGCCGCGGGCGGGGTGGGCGGGGCCTGGAGCTGCCGCGGGCGGGCGGAGAGGGCGGACCCTGCTCTAGCGGGCCGCGTAGCGGACATGGCGGGCTCCCGGCTCCCGCGGCGGCTCTTCCTCCAGGGCGTGGCGGCCGTCTTCATGTTCGCCTTCGCTTCCCTCTACACGCAGATCCCAGGTGAAGGCACCCAGGGTGGGACACCCCCAGCCTCGGCGCGGGACCCTATGTCCTCTTTTCTCTGTGCCCGGCACTCACGCAGTCTGGGGTTGGGAGTGACGGCCAGGCCTTGGCGTGGCCGGAGGGGGTAGGGGGCGGAGGTTCGTGTCCTGCAGGCCGCTGTGGGGGTAGGAATCGGTGCGGTGATCCGTTTGCTGTGAGGCTCTGGACTCTGACCTGGGGTGGGGGACAGAACTCTGGGAGAGGTGGGAGAGCGGCTTCCTCCCAGACCTGGTGGGGCGGGTAGGAGGTCGGGCTGAGACCTGGAAGAGGGCAGTGGGCTCTGCTGGGTGGAGGCCCTGACCCCGCTAGTTGAGCAGGCCTCTAGCCCTGGGACGGGGTTTTGACAGGTCCTGACCTGGGGGACGGGCTCTGGAGGGACTGCGGACCCTGACCTAGGGATGGAGGTATCCGCGTGCTCTGACGTAGGTTGGGGGGTCTGCAGGCCCTGACTCAGAGGTAGTCTAGTCTGCAAGGGCTGTCCAGGGCCTGGCCCTGACGTGCCCTCCCACAGGCCTGTATGGCCCTGAGGGCATCCTACCTGCAAGGAAGACGCTGCGGCCGCAGGGCAAGGGCCGCTGGCAGCAACTGTGGGAGACCCCCACGCTGCTGTGGGAAGCGCCGAGACTGGGGCTGGATACGGCCCAGGGCCTGGAGCTTCTGAGCCTGCTGGGCGCACTACTGGCCCTGGGGGCCCTGCTGCTGAGCCCACTGCGTCACCCCGTCGTCTACCTGCTGCTGTGGGCTGCCTACCTTTCGGCCTGCCAGGCAAGTGGGACCCCTGTGACCAGCTCAGTCCACCCCTACCCCTGCCTCTGCCTTACCTGAGTCCACAGCCACACTTGCTCCCTGACGGCCCCTCTCTCTGCAGGTGGGCCAGGTGTTCCTTTATTTCCAGTGGTGAGTGACCGCTGGGCCTGGGGCTGCGGGAGGCTGGGTGGGGGTGGGGTAGGGCCTCTCCTGGGAGGACCCTCCCAGGGGAGCAGCTGTGTCGGGAGGAGCTCTTGGTGCTATTTTCTGTCCCCATAGGGACTCCCTGCTGCTAGAGACTGGCTTCCTGGCCGTGCTGGTGGCCCCGCTGAGGCCAGCCTCCCACCGCAAGCAGGCCCCCCAGGGCGGGCAGGCAGGGGCCCTGCCCCATGAAGACCTCCCCTTCTGGCTAGTGCGCTGGCTGCTGTTCCGCCTCATGTTCGCCTCAGGCGTGGTCAAGCTGACCAGTCGCTGCCCCGCGTGGTGGGGGCTCACTGGTGAGGGGCCCTTCCTGGACCTGGGGTGGTCTGGGGGCTCTGCCAGCCCTGACTCCTGCTCTCGCCTGCAGCCCTCACCTACCACTACGAGACCCAGTGCCTGCCCACGCCCGCCGCCTGGTTCGCACACCACCTGCCTGTCTGGCTCCACAAGCTCAGCGTGGTGGCCACCTTCCTAATCGAGATCGCCGTGCCGCCCCTGTTCTTCGCCCCCATTCGACGCCTGCGTTTGGCTGCCTTCTACTCGCAGGTAGGTGAGAGCTGCAGCTGTCAGAGAGAGGCAGACAGGGCTCGGCCTTCAGCACTGCTCAGCGTGCCCTGTTGGGGACAGGGTGGCTCCCGGGGACAGGTGGCAACCGCTGTTGGGAAGGCCTTGTAGCAGAGGGATGCGCCCCGCAGGATGGAGGTGGGTGCCTACTAGGTAAGGCTGCATCACAGGGTCGGGCGTCCGTCTCCGGGAGCATTGAGAGTGGGCCGCCCCCAGGTGCTGCTGCAGGTCCTGATTATCATCACTGGCAACTACAACTTCTTCAACCTGATGACGCTGGTGCTCACCACTGCGCTGCTAGACGACCAGCACCTGGCTGCTGAGCCTGGCCATGGCAGCCGCAAGAAGACGACCACCTGTGCGTGTCACTTGTCCTGGGTTCGCTGTCGCTAGCCCCATGCCCTCCCGGGGGTTCTTCCCTCCAACACCCCCACAGGACTCCCACTCTAACTGCACCCCAGCCCCCTGACTAGGGACCCTCTGCTGACCCATGACTGTCCTGCCCCACAGCCTGGCCCAAGGCCCTGCTGGCCACACTGTCGCTGCTGCTGGAACTAGCCGTTTACGGGCTTCTAGCCTATGGCACTGTGCACTACTTTGGCTTGGAGGTTGACTGGCAGCAGCGCACCATCCACTCCAGAACCAGTGAGTGCCGACTTGGGGGGGGCCAGAGGGCAGGGGCGGACCAGTCCTCACACCCCCCTTCTCCGCCAGCTTTCACCTTCCACCAGTTCTCTCAGTGGCTAAAGACACTGATGCTGCCCACCGTGTGGCTGGGTGTGGCCTCCCTGGCCTGGGAGCTGCTGAGTGCCCTCTGGAGGTACATGGCCCAGGAAGCGGGGAGGGGGCACAGGTGGGCAGGGCCGCCATGACGACTTTGGGTCCCTACCCACAGGTGGACCCAGGTGCGGGGCTGGCTACGGAAGTTCAGTGCTGCAGTCAAACTGTCCCTTGTGAGCACTGCGACTGTGGCCTTGTTCTTGATCAGCCTGGTGGGTAGCACTGGAGGGCTGGGGGGCAGGCCGGGGGCAGGACAGCCCTGAGAACCGCCCACCTGCCTCCAGGTGCCGTACTCCTACGTGGAGCCCGGGACCCACGGGCGCCTCTGGACTGGGGCCCACCGCCTGTTTGGCGCCGTGGAGCACCTGCAGCTGGCCAACTCCTACGGCCTCTTCCGCCGCATGACCGGGCTTGGTGGGCGGCCTGAGGTGGTGCTGGAGGGCAGCTACGATGGCCACCACTGGATGGTGAGCCCTCACAGGGCGGGCAGGGCGGGGCCCAGGTCAGCTGGCCCAGCTGACTTCGGCCTGCCTGGCAGGAGATCGAGTTCATGTACAAGCCTGGGAACCTGAGCCGGCCTCCCCCAGTTGTGGTGCCCCACCAACCACGCCTGGATTGGCAAATGTGGTTTGCAGCCCTGGGCCCGCACACACACAGCCCGTGGTTCACAAGCCTGGTCTTGCGCCTGCTGCAGGGCAAGGAGCCAGGTGCGAAGCGGGGTGGGGAGGGGCAGGGTGGAGAGGGAGACAAGAGGGGGCGGGGAGGGTACTGCGGGAGCCACACTGACCCCTCTCGCTGCAGTGATCCGCCTCATCCAGAGTCAAGTGGCCAGGTATCCCTTCCACAAGCAGCCGCCCACCTACGTCCGAGCCCAGCGCTACAAGTACTGGTTCTCCCAGCCTGGAGAGCAAGGGTAAGGCCAGGCACCGGGTGGGGTGTGGAGCCCGGGGAGCAGGGGTAAGGCCGGGCACCGGGTGGGGTGTGGAGCCCGGGGAGCAGGGGTAAGGCCGGGCACCGGGTGGGGTGTGGAGCCCGGGGGCAGGGTAAGGCCGGGCACCGGGTGGGGTGTGGAGCCCGGGGGGCAGGGGTAAGGCCGGGCACCGGGTGGGGTGTGGAGCCCGGGGGGCAGGGGTAAGGCCGGGCACCGGGTGGGGTGTGGAGCCCGGGGGGCAGGGGTAAGGCCGGGCACCGGGTGGGGTGTGGAGCCCGGGGGGCAGGGGTAAGGCCGGGCACCGGGTGGGGTGTGGAGCCCGGGGGGCGGGGGTAAGGCCGGGCACCGGGTGGGGTGTGGAGCCCGAGGTGCCGCCAGGCTCTGAACATCAGGTCCCGCTGCAGCCAGTGGTGGCGGCGCCAGTGGGTGGAGGAGTTCTTCCCACCCGTGTCCCTGGGAGACCCGACGCTGGAGACACTGCTCAGGCAGTTTGGGCTGCAGGTAAGGGGGTATCAGCCAGGCTAGGGGAGGTGGCAGGGGTGACCCTAGCCTCCTGGGGTGAACCCAGTAAGCACTTCCCCAATCTCCCTCCCACAGGACAAGAGCCCACCCCGGGCCCGCAGTGCCAACAGCACTCTGGCCCAGGCCCTCCACTGGACTCGCACTCAGCTGTCTCCTCTGGAGGCCCCCGCCCTGCTCTGGGGGCTCCTCGTGGCCATAGGGGCTGTCAGAGTTGTGCAGGCCCTGCTAGCACCCTGGTCTCTCCGGTCCTCCCCCCTGGCACCAGCCAGCGGGGAGAAGCGCAGGCCAGCCCCCCATAAAGACTCTGGAGCTGCCTCCGAACAGGCCACCCCAGCCCCCAACCCCTGTACCAGTAGTTCTCGGACCGCCCGGCGAAAGAAGTAGCTGTTTTCTCCCGGCCGCGCATCCTGAGAGGGTTGGGTCCCTGGGACTGCTCTGGCCTCCGGCAGGACAGGACCCAGCCACTGTGCCTTAGCTGACCCTGCAGGGCCGGGCACAGGTTGGGGGGCTGCCCCTGGGGTTTGCAGGGTGCTGCATTGAGGGCTCCAGGCCCCACCCCCACGCCAGCCACGCCCCTCCCCAGGACTCCCACTGTTGCCTCTGTGATTGGCCCAGGAGGGAAACACGACCCAGCTCAAGACCCCTGGGCTGTGGGGGTCTGAGTCTGGAACCCCCACCCCAGGCCCCATGCCGGAGGGGAAGAGGCTGACTCTCAGGGAAAGAGGGGAAGCACCGTCATCTTCCACGTCATCTTCACACCAGCCCATCCTGCCCTTTAGATCTGGGCACCAATAAAGGAGTCTTTTGTGCTTGGCTGTGTGCCTGGTGCTGCTTTCACGGGAGGCCTGAGGATGGGAGTGTCTCCCCTACTCCGGGCAGTGGGCGTCCAGAGCACCGTCAGGCTCCCCCACGGCGTGGCCCCCCAGGCACCCTCCTGCCCCATCCTTGGCATTCTCTGTAAGGAGGCCTGGCTTGGCGTTGTCCATTGCCTGACCACAGAGGAGCCTCAGGCCTGGCACAGCCCAGTGGACCTGTCAGCTCCACACTCCAAGGCTGGTGGTGGAGCTGGTCCCTCCCTTCCCTCCTGCTCACATTTCCTGGCCTCAGGAAAGGATGGAAGGGCCAGAGTGGGCAGGGGGTGAAGGAGAGATGAGGTGGGCGAGTTAATAGAGGCTTCTCTGCAGAGTGAAGCCAGGGGGAGGGGAGCTGGAGGCCCTGGGTTGGGACGGAGGAGGGAAGGTGCATCTGACGCCCCCAACCTCGATCCTAGGAAGAAGACAGCAGCAGAGAAAGCAGTCAGGGCACCGTCCAGGTTTCCATTTGGGGTCAGGTTATCAATTGGAGGTCACCGCCCACCCTGGAAACTCACAGCACAGCTTCCTCTGCCTCTGGCCCGTCCTTGGTACAGTCCCCATCTCCTGCTCTCCCGCCAGACCCCTGGGCAGCTCCCACTATACCCAGCTCCCTCACGTCGCTGACCTCCATCTGGCCCACCCCGACAGAGCTCCATGCTCAAACACAGCCGGTGGCGTGAACTCTCAGATGCCTTCAGGGGCTCCTATACATGGAATAAACAATCGAGAAGTCAGCCTTGGCTTAGTAATAGGCCGTGCACGGTGGCTTATGCCTGTAATCCCAACTCTTTGAGAGGCTGAGGGGGAGGTAGATCACCTGAGGTCAGAGTTCGAGACCAGCTTGGCCAACATGGTGAAACCCGATCTCTACTAAAAATACAAAAATTAGCCGCGTGTGGTGGCGGGTGCCTGTAATGCCGGCTACTTCACAGGCTGAAGCAGGAGAATTGCTTGAACCTGGGAAGCGGAGGTTGCGGGGAGCCGAGATCGTGCCACTGCACTTCAGCCTAGACAACAGAGTGAGACTCCGTCTCAAAAAAAAAAGGTAATCTGTTTAAAACTCAAAAACCTGTTCCTAGGCTTCTTTGTTTTCTGGACAGGGTCTCTCTCACTCTGTTGCCCAGGCTGGAGCGGTGGTGCAGTTGTGGCTCACTGCAGCCTCAGACTCCTGAGCTCAAATGGTCCTCCTGCCTCAGGCTCCCACCACCACACACACTCCCCATGTTGCCCGGGCTGATGTTCCTAAGCTTTTTTTTTTTTTTTTGAGACGGAGTCTCGCTCTGTCGCCCAGGCTGGAGTGCAGTGGCGCGATCTCGGCTCACTGGCATGCGTCCGACCTGATGTTCCTAAGCTTTTAAGCTCACTTTATGAATGTCTTCTGTGTTTTTGTTTTCTGTAACAGCTTTCTTGGTAAGTCACATGCTATACAACTCACCCATTGCAAATGCACAACTCAGTGGCTTTCAGTATATTCACAGAGTTGCACATCCATCACCAGAGTTCATTTTATTTATTTATTTATTTAGAGACACAGTCTCACTGTTGCCCAGGCTGGAGGGCTGTGGCACAATCTCAGCTCACTGCAACCTCCACCTCCTGGGTTCAAGCGATTCTCCTGCCTCAGCCTCACAAGTAGCTGTGATTACAGGCGTGAACCACCACACCCGGCTAATTTTTGTAGTTTAGTAGAGATGGGTTTTCACCATGTTGGCCAGGCTGGTCTCGAACTCCTGACCTCAGGAGATCTGCCCACTTTGGCCTCCCAAAGTGCTGCGATTATAGGCCTGAGCCACGGCGCCCGGCCCAGAGGCCATTTTAGAACCTTTCATCTCCTCCGGAAGAAACTCCGAACTGTTTAGCTGTTGCCCTCTGACCCCTCCCCACCAAGCCCTAAACAACTATTCATCTACCTTTTTTCTTTGTGGATTTACCTATTCTGGACATTTCCTGTAACGTGGGACCTTTTGTGTCTGGCTGCTTTCACTCAGCACGATGTTTTCAAGGCACATCCACATCATAGCACATATCAGCGCCGTGTTCCCTTAGGAGTGAGTCAGTCCAGTGTACGCAGGGACCACATTCTCCCTGTCCTTATTCATTCAGGTATCGATGGATGCTTGGATGGCTTCCACCTCTCTTGGGTGAGTAGTGCTGCTGTGAACATTGGGTATGCAAGTTTTTGTGTGGGATTACAGATGTGCGCTACCACATCTGGCTAATTTTTGTATTTTTAGTAGAAATGGGGTTTCACCATGTTGGCCAGGCTGGTCTTGAACTCCGGACCTCAAGTGATCCACCCGCCTGATCCTCCCAAAGTGCTGGGATTACAGATGTGAGCCACCGCGCCCAGCCTATGTAGAACTGATTTGATGAGAAGCTGAGTCTCTAACAGATGCAGTGACTAGGACACTATTGGGTCAAAGAACCACATAGGCTGTGCACCAGGAAGAAACACACACAGGCTGGCACTGGTAAAATGCAAAATAAATAAATAAATAAAACCACTTGCATTTGTCAAAAATAAAATTTTAGGCTGGGCGCGGTGGCTCACGCCTGTAATCGGAGCACTTTCAAGACCATCCTGGCTAACACAGTGAAACCCCATCTTTACTAAAAGTACAAAAATTGGCCAGGCGCGGTGGCTCAAGCCTGTAATCCCAGCACTTTGGGAGGCCGAGACAGGTGGATCACAAGGTCAGGAGATCGAGACCATCCTGGCTGACACAGTGAAACCCCATCTCTACTAAAAAAATACAAAAAACTAGCCGGGCGAGGTGGCGGGCGCCTGTAGTCCCAGCTACTCAGGAGGCTGAGGCAAGAGAATGGCATAAACCCGGGAGGCGGAGCTTGCAGTGAGCTGAGATCCGGCCACTGCACTCCAGCCTGGGCGACAGAGCGAGACTCTGTCTCAACAAAAAAAAAAAAAAAAAAAAAAGTACAAAAATTAGCTGGGCGTGGTGGGCGCCTGTAATCCAGCTACTCAGGAGGCTGAGGCAGGAGAATGGCTTGAACCTGGGAGGCGGAGCTTGCAGTGAGCTGACGTCGTGCCACTGCACTCCAGCCTGGGCAACAAGTTTTTTAAACTCCGTCTAAAAAAGAAAAAAAAAATTTGCATAGAGACATTTGTGGCTGCTCTGTATATTACAGTCATTAGCTGGAAACTGTTTATGAGGTGATAGCTAAGTAGGGGGTCGATTAGGAGAATGAGCTATTGCCTTCGTGTATAACAACTATTGAGAAGAAATAGTTATGTGATACCATCATAATTTTAAAAAGAGAATCTGGACCAGGCACGGTGGCTCACGCCTGTAATCCCAGCACTTTGGGAGGCCAAGGCAGGCAAATCACCTGAGGTCAGGAGTTCAAGACCAGCCTGGCCAACATGGCAAGACACTGTCTCCACTAAAAGTACAAAAAAATTAGCCAGGCATGGTGGTGTGTACCTGTAAGCCCAGCTACTCGGGAGGCTGAGGCAGGAGAATCACTTGAACCTGGGAGGTGGAGTTTGCAGTGAGCCAAGATCGTGCCACTGCACTCCGGGCAACAGAGCGAGACTCCGTCTCAAGAGAAAATAAAAATGGCCGGGCGCGGTGGCTCACGCCTGTAATCCCAGCACTTTGGGAGGCCGAGGCGGGCGGATCACAAGGTCAGGAGATCGAGACCACGGTGAAACCCCGTCTCTACTAAAAATACAAAAAATTAGCCGGGCGCGGTGGCGGGCGCCTGTAGTCCCAGCTACTCGGGAGGCTGAGGCAGGAGAATGGCGTGAACCCGGGAGGCGGAGCTTGCAGTGAGCCGAGATCGCGCCACTGCACTCCAGCCTGGGCGACAGAGCGAGACTCCGTCTCAAAAAAAAAAAAAAAAAAAAAAAGAGAAAATAAAAATAAATAAATAAGAGGATCTGGAATTTTGATCACATAATGATACCCACAAGAGAAACTTCTGTCTAGTTACCAAGGGGAAATAGGTCCAGAATTTGTCAATGGTCAGTGAGTTTGGAGATAGGGTTTTTTAAGTTATTTTGTGCTGATTGATATATGCACATTTCTACTTTAGTTATTATTACCCGTTACATAACATATATGCTTGAATATTTACTTCAAGGAAACACACCTCTATAAGTGATATTCAAGAGTAGCTACTGGGCTTGAGAATGAATGTGTTAGAACAAATGAGATTGTCCTATGAGAGAGGAGGCAGGAGCCAGGGAGGAGGATCCCAGGTGGCCAGGGCTCGGCAGGGAGGCAGGGCCATCGGAGGGTGGCCAACCAAGGAACCACCCCACGGAGGTTTGCAGAGGTCAGGGCCCCCCCAGGTGATTGGATTGTTGTGGAGTGCCCAGAAGACAGGGAAAGTCTGAGTTCACCAGATAACTCAGACCAACTGGAAACCCAGTGGTGGTTCTACAGAACCAACTAGCATAGGATTGGCTGTGTGAGGGTGGGGTTGGCGTCTGTCTTCACTGCAGCTCTGTCTGCAGAGCCATCACTGTAATAGCTCACAGTAGCTGCTCAATATGTGTCTGAAGTGAATTAATATCTAGGAGGGGAGGAAGACAGGTATAGCTCTTTGCAGAGACTTCCCACCTGAAATGCCATCGCCCCAGGCACTGGAGCTGTCCAAAACCTTGTCTTGTGGAGAATTTCCAGAAGGGGGCACTGTGGACGCGGTTCAGTATCTGCCTCCCAAGGCTGGGGCTCCATGTCAAAAGAAGGTGAGACGACGGGGCACAGCGGTCACTCCTGTAATCCTAGCACTTTGGGAGGCCACAGAAGGATCACTTGAGGCCAGGAGTTCAAGACCACTTGGGTAACATAGCAGGAGCTTCTCTCTACAAAAAAAAATTTAAAATGTAGCCAGATGTGGTGGCCTGAACCTGTAGTCCCAGCTACTTAGGAGTCTGAGGCAGGAGGATCACTTGAGTCAGGAGTTCAAGGCTGCAGTGAGCTCTGATTGCACCA